GGTGGATCACCTGAGGTCAGGAGTTTGAGACCAGCCTGACCAACGTGGCGAAACCAGTCTCTAGTAAAAATACAAAAATTAGCTGGGCATGGTGAGTGCCTGCAATCCCCACTACTTGGAAGGCTGAGGCAGGAGAATTGCTTGAGCCTGGGAGGTGGAGATTGCAGTGAGCTGAGATCGCGCGTCATTGTACTCCAGCCTGGGCGACAGAGCAAGACACTGTCTCAAAAAAAAAAAAAAAAGAAAAGAAAGGTCACCTGCCATGTTTTATATGGAACATTCTCTATGATTGAAGTAATTTCCTTTTCAGTATTAACTAGGTCAAGCCCGGGCTTATAATCCCAGCATTTTGGGAGGCTGAGGTTGGTGGGTCACTTGAGGCCAGGAGTTCGAGACCAGCTTGGCCAAAGTAGTGAAACCCTGTCTCTACTGAAAGATACAAAAAAAATTAGCCAGACTTAGTGGTGGGTACCTGCTAGTCCCAAGCTCACTCGGCGCGGCTGAGCCAAGGAGAATTGGCTTGCAACCCCGGAGGCAGAGCGTTGCAGTGAGCTGAGATCAGCCATTGCACTCCAGCCTGGAGACGACCTCCATTCAAAAACACATACAAAACAAAACAAACAATCATATTAACTACGGTCAAGGCGGGCAGATAGGTTTCAGCGCTCACTGGCTTTCTTGAGAACACAGGTTGTGAGAGAGGATGCTGAGGCCACATCAGGCTTAGAAAGTCCTGTGATTGGGCCGGTGCCGCGGCTGCTCAGCGGTAACTCCCACGCACTCCTTGCAGCCCCGAGACGGGCGGATCACGAACAGGTCAGGAGATCGAGACCATCCAGGGGGGGGGGGGGGGGGGGGGGCGCACCACCACAGCCTCGGCTAACACGGTCGAACCCGCCCGTCTCTACTACAAAACATACGCGCGAGAGACCAGAAAGGAGGAGAGACACAAAAAAAAAACTACCTCGGCGACGCTGGTCGGGCCGCCTGTAGTCCAGCGACACTACGGGAAGGCTGAGGCCAGGAGACATAGCGTGAACACAGGGAGACGGGCATATGCAGGATGAGCTGAAGATCTGACACTGCACTCCACGCCCCGGCGCAGAGCGAGACTCCGTCTCAAACAAAAAAAAAAAACGAAAAGTCGTGAATGATCGTGTCGATATCTAAGAGGGCTTGCGAAACAGGGGTCGCGCACTCGGAAATATTTTGCTCTCCTTGAACTGTACCATCATCAACTACTAAAGCAGTCCATTGTCTGGAACTTAAAAGAACTCAACCACTTTCATAACGCTTTCCTCACGTTCCTTTAAGTTTGTACATTCAAAGTGGTGTATATGAGCTCTAGCGCATTGGTTATACTGAATGATCCAAATATAACAAATGAAATTATACATTGAAAGAATAAGCCACGGCCCTCAAAATTCTTTCCTCTGTCCTTGGCTTTTCCCTTTTCTTTTTAAAAAATATTTCTCTGGGCCGGTTGCGGTGGCTCAAGCCTGTAATCCCAGCATTTGTTGGAGGCCCGAGACAGGTGGATCTGAGGTCAGGAGATCGAGAAACCATTCCTGGCTAACACAGTGAAATCCCCGTCTCTACTAAAAAATACAAAAACTAGCCCGGGCGAGGTTGGCGGGCACCTGTAGTCCAGCTACTCGGGAGGCTAGAGGCAGAAGAATGGCATGAACCGGGAGCAGACTTGCAGTGACGCTGAGGATCTGCCACTGCACTCCAGCCTGGGTGACCCAGAGCACCGACACTCTTCGTCTCAAAAAAAAAAAAAAAAAAAATTCTCTGTCTCTACCTTCCCTTTCATTTGACTTGAGTTAAACTTCTAGTGGCTATCAGTTGCTGGTAATTCTAGCTTCTTCCAATATCTTCATATATTTGGTAAGCCACTACTTTCCTGTATCGGAACAGATGTCTCTGCCTTCGGTGAGTCCGCATACACATGAATGGCCAATTAATACTTGAAAATGTCAAATTGTCATGGCCTGTAATCTCGCACTTTTGGAGGCCGAGCGGGGTGCGATCACCTGAACGTCCACGGAGTTCTGAGACCAGCCTGGCCAACAATGGCAAAACCCCATCTCTACTAAAAATTACAGTGAGCCCAGATCGTGCCACTTCACTCCAGCCTGGGAACAGAGCAAGATGCCATCTCAAAAAAAAAAATTCAAATTGGATTTCTGCTACCTCTCTTCTTAAAAAGGTCTAGTAGGCAGAGCATAGTGGGCTCACGCCTGTAATCCCAGCACCATGCGGTAGCCAGAGCGGCGCAGATTGCTTGAGTCCAGGGAGTTCAAGACCAGCCTGGGCAACATAGCAAAACCTCATCTCTACTAAAAATACAAAAATTATCTGGAGTGGTGGCACACACCTGTAGTCCCCAGGTACTCAGGGGGCTGCAGTGGGACAATCTACTGAGCCCAGGAGGTCGAGGCTCGCAGTGAGCTGAGATCGTGCCACAGCACTCCAGCCTGGGCCACCCACAGTGAGACCCTGTCTCAAAAAAAAAAAAAAAAAAATGGTAGTGTCCGCCAGGGGTGGTGGCTCACACTTGCAATCCCATCACTTTGGGAGGCCGAGGTGGGAAGATCACTTGAGGCCAGGTGTTTGAGACCAGCCTGGGCAACATAACGAGACCTTGTCTCTACAAAATAATTTTAAAACAGCTGGGCACGGTGGCACACGCCTCTAGTCCTAGCTACTTGGGAGGCCAAGGTGGGAGGATCACTTGAGCCTGGGAGGTCAAGGCTATAGTGAGCCATGATCATGCCAAGAGAGTAAGACTCTGTCTCTTTAAAAAAAAAAAAAAAGTCTAGTGTCTTCCCACCCACTCCTTTACTTGGCATTTGAGATATTACCAGCCACTTCCTCCACAAATCTCTTCCTGCGAGCACTGTTCACTTCACACAACCTGGCCTCCAAACCCTGTGCCTTTCTGTCTGCCTTTCCCCTTCTCCCCCTAGCATCCTCCCCCTTATCCTTACAGACCCCCTCTTGTGTTGGTTTTGAGTCTTTCCTGATGTCTCAAGCCAAGCACTGCTGTGGCTTGTCTCTCACCCACTCTGAACTTCTTGAAGCTGAGGACCATATCAGATTCAATTTGGTCTACTCAAGATCTAGCTCTGAACATGGTGGGTGCGTAAGAAATATTTGCTGAATAAATAGATGTCCCAGGTCCTTGGACATTGTGATTGAGTTAATGAGGAGCCCAAACGAGAAGGGCATTATGGAAAATCTGCAGGTGCACTGGCGCCAGTCCCTGCCTTGTCACCCCAGCAGTCTCCCTTTTGTTATGACCCTTTTGCCTCCTTGAGCAGTTTGGGGGGGCAGTGTCTGTCCCGTCCCCCATCTGGCCCACCCTGGCTCCTCCGGCATGGGGTGCACTGGGAGTACCAAGGAAAAGTCCCGCCCTACCCTCCCCATGAACCCTAAACCTGCCTGGCTGGCGTCCTAGCTCACGGGCCCTTCATCAGGTCTACAGTCTACATTTTGTTCTCATCTGCCACCCATTTGTTTTGTTGCCACAGACTTGGGGACAGAGAGCGTCAGTGGCACCCTCAGTTCACTCCAGCAATGTAATCCCCGTGACAGCTTTGACATGTTTGCCCAGACGAGAGGAAACTCCTTGGCTGAGCAGCGCAAGACGTATGTGGGGCCCCTTCTTGTGGCTTTCTAAAGATATTGGGGGGATTGACCCATGCCTGGTCACAGGCCAGCACAAAAAGTCATTTATTTACCATGTCCAGGACTGCCAGGAACTTTAAAGCATGGCTGTAAGGACTCGGCATTAGATGCAGATACTGAATTAACACCAACTGCCCACTGCCCCCTCCCCCCCCACACAAACTCTCTTGCCCTTGGGGTTGGTTGGACTAGGATTTCTCCTGTCAGTTGTAAGAGACCGCTTTTCTCTTTCTTCCCTATGCTGCTGCTGCTGCAGACACCACCCTGCCTGGCCCCTCATCCACAGGAGAAGCTTGGAAGCAGGAGGGTGCAGCCATGCAGGGTGAACCCATTCCTTACAGCAAGATTTTCCTGACTAAAATAAGTGGTCAGGGCAGAGGCTCCTCTGATAGCAGCTCTGGCTAGGATGAGCCATCTGGAATTCAGGGAGTTGATTCCAAAAGAGAGAATCCCCTGTATCTCAGGGAGGTGCTGTACATGTGTTGAGCTTTCTGTTCAGCCTAAAGGCGGGTGAGACACACTCTTTCCCACCTTTCCCAGGGACCCAGCATCTTGGTGCACTCAGCACCCTGAGTCCTGCTTGGGACTCAGCGGGGTAAGCAAAAACCCAAGGTCCCATGTACCCTTCACCAGCGAAAGTTGCTTGTAAAACAGATATAGCTAAAGGAGTCAGGGAGTGGAGGAAGACCTCCCCTAATCAGTGACAGTCCCAGGTCCCAGAGACTACCTTCCCTGTCAAATGCCACTGAGGCTGCTGCTTTTAAAATAAGAATTAATGTTACTTTGTGTTTATCTGGTCTTCCCTTTGAGGAGTATTAGGGCACTTTGGACACCCTGACATTGAGCTTCAGAGATGCTCAGTATTGTTACTCAAGACAGGGATATTTAGGTGCACAAAATCTAAGATCGCCGAGATTAGTGGCTCAGCCTGAGCTAGGACCCAGGCCTCCTAGCGTCCACTGCAGGGAGACAGACAACATGAGCCCTTAGCCTCTGCTCAATGTCAAGGTCTCAGGAAATGTTTTTCCAAGGACATCTGAGGAAGGACCATAGGACAGAAGTGATTACAAGCCCTCCATGACCACTAGAGGAAAATTAACTCTGCTTGTGCTGCTGCTTCATCTCCAGGGTAACCTATGAGGATCCTCAGGCTGTCGGAGGACTTGCTTCTGCCCTAGACAGTCGAAAACAGAGCTCAGAAGGGGTAGGTCTTTAACCCTGTGTTTTTGCCTGGAGTCTTCTGGAGGGAAAGCCAGGTGGTTTGGCAAAGCTGGCTGGGTAATTCAGCAGAAACTGGCTTGCACAGGGGGCACATACACCCCAGGGGAGAGACCCGTGGAACCCAGGTAGTGCCTCATTGAGTCTTCACCTCACCCTGTGAGGTGATGCCACACATGAAATTCCCAATTCACCCAGGAGGAAACAGTCCCAGGGAGGTGGGAGACAGGCTGAGACACCCAGAGAGCAGACAGCAAGCCAGGGTTCGAATCCTAGGAGTGTCCAGCTCCAGAACACCTGCTCGTCCTACCACAGTGGCCCCAAGTTCTCCAGGCACAAGTCTCCTATGGTCACTTGTTACAGTGTCCCAGGGTGGTGGTCAGTGCCCTGATAAAACCATGGCCTGCACCAGGAGGGACAATGCTGACCCGAGCCACATCTCTGATGGCCATTTGCTGCTGGCCTAGCAGAGCAGTACCAACCCCATTAGAAGGCACTCAAGAGCCAGCGTTTGTTTACAGAGCTGGCGTAGTTGGGTGGTGGCTGGGAGGGTGTTCTGTGGTGGTGAGGGGGTGCAGCACAGTGAAGTGGAGGGAATGGTATGTGTTTGGGCCCCCCAAAAACATAGCCATGCTTTCTGTACAATTTCAGATTACTAAAGGGGAAAGGATGTGTGTCTTAATGCTTCTCATGATATTTTTCTTTTTGCCTAACTAAGAAATGCGTATGGATGCATGTCTGTTTGCAGGGGCAGGGAGGAGGAGGGCCCTTGGAATAGCTGCCCACAACAGCTGGAAGTCCTGTCTGGGTCCCCCAGCTGGGCTAGAGAGGGCAGTGATCATCTGTCCACTGGACAGGAAGGTTTGCAAAGGGCTGTTTGCTTCCTGGGTACCAATTTTTAGCCTTCTAAAGTCCTTGTCCAGTGGACCCAGGCAGGCAGCAGTGCTGGTTTCCAGGGGATGCTCCTTCTTGGGGGAAGGGACTCCCTCATCCATGCTGGCCTTTGCCTGGTGGATCTGAGGGCATGCAGCCCTCTGCACTGGTCACCAGAGGGCGCAGAAGAGTCAGCTGGCTGCCTTGGGTCCTCAGTGCCCTGCTTTTCCACAGGAGTGGGCAGTGTCACCTGAACCCCTGAGACTGGGACACCCAAAATCAATGCAGTGCTCATGGCTCTGATTCTCCCATTACTTAGAATGTCCTCCCACCTGCCCCCAGGGTGGGCATTAGAGAGCCCAGCTAGGGGCCTACCAGGATACTGCCTGGTGAGGACATCCCCTTGTGCTGGCCAACCCTGGCTTGCACTGGGAGCAGCCCTGTTGCGTCCCTACGAGACTGACCTCATTTGTCCCTCACTCTGGCTCCAGGGCCTGCTTTGTCCATGCCAGGGCATGTCCTGCTGCACCCCTGCCATTATCGGTGCGCAGGCCTGGGTCTGAGCCCAGGAGATGTGAGTGACTTCCTGCCCTTCGCCCTTTGCGTGTGTGGCTTGGACTAGCTCCCCGTTTTCAAAGGTCCCGATGACTCCAGCAGGTTTTCCACCCAGTGGTGGGCAGATTGCTTTTTTTTTTTTTTTTTTTGAGATGGAGTCTCGCTCTATCGCCCAGGCTGGAGTGCAGTGACATGATCTTGGCTCACTGCAGCCTCCATCTTCCAGATTCAAGCTATTCTCCTGCCTTAACCTCTTGAGTAGCTGGTATTACAGGTGCCCACCACTACACCCAGCTAATTATGTTTAGTAGAGACAGGTTTTCACTATGTTGGCCAGGCTGGTCTTGAACTCCTGACCTCAGGCACTCCGCCTGTCTTGGCCTCCCAAAGTGCTAGGATTACAGGTGTGAGCCACTGCACCCAGCCATCAGATTGCTTTTCATGTTTACTGCTCAATGGGGTGATGCCATGGCCACAGCCTCAGCAATACAGGGCAGCAGAGCATGTGGGCTGTGTGTGTCTACACATATTCTTGCCCACCTGCAGCATTTCAGGTTACCTTGTCCCATCCCAAGCCATACTGACCTAGAAATGAAAACGAGGCCAAGGGAGAACTTAAGAACACAATAGAAAAGGGGAAGGCTGGGCGCGGTGGCTCATGCCTGTAATCCCAGCAGTTTGGGAGGCTGAGGCGGGCAGATCACCTGAGGTTGGGAGTTCGAGACCAGCCTGACCAACATGGAGAAACCCCATCTCTACTAAAAATACAAAATTAGCTGGGCATGGTGGCGCATGCCTGTAATCCCAGCTACTCAGGAGGCTGAGGCAGGAGAATTGCTTGAACCCGGGAGGCGGAGGTTGCGGTGAGCCGAGATCACGCCATTGCACTCCAGCCTGGGCAAGAAGAGTGAAACTCCATCTCAAAAATAAAATAAAATAAATAAATAAATAAATAAATGGAAGAAACTTATGTAGCCACACCTCCACAAATCAAATCCAACCAAGTCAGTCAAGAAAAGGTCATCCCAGGGCTGGGCGCAGTGGCTCACACCTATAATCCCAGCACTTTGGGAGGCTGAGGTGGGAGCTGAAGACCAGCCTGGCCAAGATGGTGAAACCCTGTCTCTAATAAAAATACAAAAATCAGGGCTGGGCACAGTGGCTCATGCCTGTAATCTCAGCACTTTGAGAGGCTGAGGTGGGTGGATCACAAGGTCAGGAGATCAAGACCAGCCTGGCCAACATGGTGAAACCCCGTCTCTACTAAAAATACAAAAATTAGCTGGGCGTGGCAGCATGTGCCTGTAATCCCAGCTACTTGGGAGACTGAGGCAGGAGACTCTCTTGAACCTGGGAGGCAGAGGTTGCAGTGAGCTGAGATTGTGCCACTGCACTCCAGCCTGGCGTCAGAGCTAGACTCTGTCTCAAAAAAAAAAAAAAATAGCCAGGTGGGGGGGCGGGCACCTGTAATCCCAGCCACTTGGGAGGCTGAGGCAGAAGGATTGCTTTGTTTGCACCCAGGACATTTTGAGACCCTGTCTAGGCAACATAGTGAGACCTCACCTCAAATAAATAAATATTTTAAAAGGCAATGAAGAATACATCTAAATTTAGTATTCAAGAGTTTAGAAAAAGAATACACAAGCCACTAGAAAAGAGAAAAAAAATAAAAGAAAAAATGCAGGAAAAAGAAAAAAGTAGAAATGCTTCTGTAAAAGCTGGTTCTTTGAAAAGTTGACCGCCTGCCAACCCTGATAGCCGTAATCGAGAGAAGCAGCTCTGGTCAACCTGTGATCTCCAGGAGATTTTCCAAGGGCACGGGAGTAGTTGGCATGAGTGTATGTTATCCTGTTGGGATTCTTGGTTACTAAACTTTTCTTCTTTTTTCCAGGCAGGTAAGGGGGACATGCCAGGGGTGGAGGTTGGGAGCAGGGCATCAGATTTCCTTGCGTGGCAAAGGGTCACGTCTGAAGAGTGACTTTTCTGTTTCCACAATATGTGCTATTGACTTCTTTCTCATGGGTCTTGCTGTGACTTTTCTTTCTGAGACTTTTCTGTCCTCGGCCCAGAAGAAAGGTAGAGGTGGGGAGTATGACCTGGAGCCCATAGACAGCTGGCTCATAACCCAAGGAATGGTGAGGAGTCACCAGCCGAGCCGAGCCTGCTGTCCACCCCAGCCCCTACCTGTGTAACAGCTCATGTCTTCCTCTTGTGACCTGCCAAGCCTTTGTGAATCAGACAGTACAAGGCCACACTCTCTTTCTGATAGGGGTGCCAAATTTCCCCTCCTATTTTTGCATAATCTCTGTAAGTCACAGATTCCCAGTCCCAAAAATACCTCCCTGCCCCCAGGCCTGAAGAGTCTGGGACATTAGCAGGGATGAGGAGAGGGTCCTTTCCTTCCTTTTACTGTCTCCGGAGCTCCGGGCAGTATTCACTTTTCCAGGATGAGCACAAGTCACTGTGGCTGTTGCTTGGGAGGGAACAATTCTAAGGGAACAGACTCAAAGCATCTGACCAGTCAAGGAAGCCCCCTCTAGCCCAGGGCCTGTGAATTCGGCAGTCCTAGACTTGACAGATTTTTATAATGTACTTACTTGTGTCCACTAAGTCCCTCAAAATGATTTGAAACCTCTTAAAGAATACACAGGCCGGGCGCGGTGGCTCACATCTGTAATTCCAGCACTTTGGGAGGCTGAGGCAGGCAGATCATGAGGTCAGGAGATCAAGACCATTCTGGCCACCATGGTGAAACCCTGTCTCTACTAAAAATACAAAAATTAGCTGGGTGTGGTGGTGTGCGCCTGTAATCCCAGCTATTCGGGAGGCTGAGGCAGGAGAATTGCTTGAACCTGGGAGGCGAAGGTTGCAGTGAGCTGAGATTGCGCCACTGCACTCCAGCCTGGTGACAGAGTGAGACTCCACCTCAAAAACAAAACAAAACAAAACAAAAAACCAAAAACCAACACAGTAGAAACAACATAAAAAGAAGACAAAGCCCAGGAATGTTCAGTGTTGTAAACACAGTTAGTCCTCATGCAGCAGAGCTTTCCTGGCCCACAGACCTGCAAGGGTCTATCCTACCTTGTCTTTTCAGGTGGCCTGAGCCTGGTGCATGGAGAGAGGGTCAGCTCATCTCAGGCTGTATGCCTTGGGATGACCATTTCACCTCTAGCAGAGCCCAGAGCTCTGGGTACATGTGGTGGAAGCTGAGCTGGAGAGAATGCAGAGAAGGAAAGATGATGAAAGCAGTGCAAACATGGGCCTCTCCCTCCAGGTGGGGTGGGGTGAGAGGAATACATAACTGCCCCTGGTGTGCTATGCTAGGCTGTGGCCAGAGGAAAGGCCAGCAGGTCCTAGACTGCAAGCAGCACAGGGGCCACCTGCTTGAGCAAAGCATGAGCGGTGAGCAGGAACTTGGGCCATGCAGGACCACTCAGAGCCGTGGGAGCAAGGAGCATCTGCCTGCCACCCAGCTTGGGCTGGGGCCCTCTGCACAGCTCTGCTGTCAGCCTGGGCAGGTCTTCCGCCACCTGTCATAGCAGCAGCACACTCCTGCTCTGGGTGAGAAGGCAGCTCCTCCACTAGACCCCAAGCCCATTCTTAGAGAGATGCACTGGCCCAGGCCTCTCATTTGCTTCTTCAGGGACAGACTGCGCTCTGGCCCACATGTTGGGGGCCCTTGCAGCCGGGCTTCTACAGACCATGTGTATTCATTGGGAAGATCCAGCCCATGTGCCCTTGTGCCTGTTAATCCTGCAAAAAAGGATACTGCCCACACAAACTCCCGTGAGGGTGGCCTTGGCAGCTGGTGGTGGTGCCTGCCTCTGGCCACACAGACTGCCTCGCCACTGCCGGGTCCCCACATAGAGCTCCAGTCTCTAACTTCCCAGAAACAAACCTAACTAACAGCTAACCTGGTGTCTCGCCTGACTGACTGCAGTTTTTGGTTTTTTTTTTTCTTCTTTACAACAAATATTAATTGCTTTGCCTTATTTCCCATAGTGTAGAAACCTTGAGTCTTTTCAAACCTCCCGAGTACAAATTCTTTACTTGGAAACTTTTTGTACTGTTGAGTGAGATCAAAGACTTTTAGACGTCATCCCAGTGGGGTGGTGCTTGAAGTGTCATAGGAAGGGATTCACAGCTTCTCTGGAAATAGCACACCTGAGCTGCAGAAATTGTTCTTGTTGCATTGAAAACTGGACAGGTGGGTTTCCTTGTGGGCATGGGGTTGTGGGAACCTGCAGAGGAGCATCGGGTGGAACCCTTATGCTCCTGGAATTCAGGTGTTTGGATAGCCAACACAGAAGTTAACTGACACCACCAGGCTCATTACTGGTTGAAGAGAAATGAGATCTGTCAATGGACTAGGGCCGGGTGACTCTCAGGAAGACTGCTAGGCTTATGCTGTCCTTCCCTGGCCTCTCTAGTGTAAGGTCTTTTTGCCTCTCCTGGCTGGTGATCAGCTAGGGTTGTCTCCCTTATGCAGGGTGCAGCCAGGAAGATATCCTCATGTGAGAGAATTTAAGTCAAAACAAGAACAGAGGTAGGTTAGTAAAGAGTGCTGCTGCCAAAACCCAGGCTTGGGTTTGGAGGGCAGGACTCCCTCCTCAGACCTGGAGGCCCCCAAGGCTCCTCTTACTCTGGAAGGATCATCCTAACCCCTGGAGTACCAGACAGACACACCTCTCCCCCTTGGACTGGCAACCCTCCCTCCTGACCCTGAGGCAGAGCTGCCCCTGCCTGCAGTTCCAAGTGAGAATCAGCTGACAGCAGGATGGCTCACCTGCCGCTCAGATCAAAACCTGTGACTTCTGACATCCAAGATGTTTGTCTATGGACTTTGAAAATGGGAAGGGCTGGTCTAACCACTGCCTCAGCCAAGCCAGCCTGGCCTACCTATCTTCAGAGGGGCTGAGCTTCAGGCAGTAGTCTCTATTGGAGGGCATTCCTGTGCTAGCTTCCTTCCTTTTCTCTCTTCACATGCCTTCTTCCTTTCTGTCCCTCTCTTCCAACTTATACTCTTCTTCAGATCCCTCAGACCAGCCTTCAGCTTGGATCATTACCCAGTAAAATGCTGAAACTATGGCACGTCAGTCTGGGTGCAGTGGCTCACACCTGTAATCCCAGCACTTTGGGAGGCCGAGCTGGGCGGATCACTTGAGGCCAGGAGTTTAAGATCAGCCTGGCCAACATGGCGAGACCCTGTCTCTACTAAAAATACAAAAATTAGTCAGGTGTGATGGCTCATGCCTGTAATCCCAGCTACTCAGGAGGCTGAGGCACAAGGATTATTTGAACCTGGGAAGCAGAGGTTGCAGTGCGCCGAGATCACACCACTGCACTCCAGCCTGGGCAACAGGGCAAGACTCTGTCTCAAAATAAATAAATAAATAAAAATAAAAATAAAACTATGATATATCAGAGCCAACAGTCTTCTTAGGAATCTGCTGGGCCAGCCCCTAGTCTGACAGATGAGGACGCTGAGGCCTCCTAGGGGCCTGGTGACTCGCCCAAAGCTGCAGCGAAGAAACAGAGTCCCCTAAGACTCAGTGCAGTGCCCCCTCCTCCAGCCAGGGCCCCACTTCCCTCCCATCAGCCTGACAAGGCGCGCGTCCTCGGCCTCCTACAGTTTCTTTAGTTTATATTTTCTAAGCAGTGTACATGTTTAGTCTGAGTCTGATAGCACCTACATTATTAGAAGGAACTTTG